TATGTGTGTGTGTATATATGTGTGTGTGTGTGTACACACATGTGTATGCACATGTGTATGCATGTATGCTCACATCCAAAGTCATCTAAAGATAAGTGAACCAGTTCAGATGGTTTCATTGCACCAAACACTGGTGAAGAATCCCCTCATAATCCCCTCTGTGCCTCACTCAGGCACTATCATTATTGCATCCCCCCCTCAGGATTGAGGCTATTTTCTCTTCCTACACAACTCTTTCTGCAGCACTGAAGAGAGCTTTCCACGGAATTCCGTTGAAAGGTGGACGCGCGCAGAACTCTGACTCTTTCTCAGCATTCTATCTGACAAACAAAGTGGTGCGATGGCAGACACACACAAACTCCAGGTAGCAATTTGGCAATGGGAGAGTGAGCAGACTGTCTCTCACCAAGCAGAGGACAAGTAAGCCTGGCAGTTAGGGTTGGGAGGACTCGTGAGCGAGCAGCTAGTCAGCTGTTGCATGTCTCCTGGTCTGACAGAAAATAGTCAGATCTAACACGAAGCTCCACTGTCATGTGCATGAATAAATTGACTCACTTCTGTGGTCCTCACTCTTTTCCCTGTGCATCCAAAAGGCTCCATGTCACTCATCACTTTTTATTAATAAAAAAAAGGAATTTGGACATACAAGAGCCCTACAAACTGAATGAATTATAGAGGACCAAACAGACTTCTCTTGTAGATGAGGTCGTGCAGAATTCTGTTTGTATCACTCGTAAAGAAGCACCTGGAGGAATCACTCGCAGACACAGAGCCAACATGCAAATGACTCTCAGAATTGCCTCAGCTTGTTTATGTTGTCAGGTTTTGTATAAAAAAAAGACTTCCCTCCTTACAACTATGATGGCAAAGAAGCGTAACTGAGGGGGCTTATTTGCTGTTTTTCTAATAGGTACAAAAACAATCAAATAGAAATAATGGTGAATCCATTTTGAAATGGAATATTAGCCATTATCTGACGAGTATCAAAATTGACTACTTTTGCCTGTGCCAAACCTGTGATTTTAGCCAGCTTTCATTTGTTACATCTGTCTTTTCTGTCCCTTTTGCCCTTGGCATATTGTTGGCATAGAATTCTTGAAATTTTGAACACCCTGCCTCCTTCCACTGTATTCTTTGCCGGAAACCTTTGTCTGATTGCCTTCTTGAAAGGCTTTTATGAATATCTGACTCTACATATCATTCATCATGCACAGCCATACATTTCTACAGGGCCAAATACATACTTAAGCTTAGGAAGCGGGAAATGAGTTAGCATGGAAATTACTTCAGGCTGCCAATCAACTTTTTTTGCAAGTGCTTATAATTGATCGTGGGTGGGCTTTGGAACAAAACACTCTCATATCAAAAAAATATATATTTGACCGCAAAGAAAGTATATTTTTTAGCAAAGCTAAAACGGAGCTGAATTGTATTGATAAGTGTCAAGCCCAAATTTTACATTTTGTAGTAAGAAAATACCAAAACACAACTGCCCTCTTCTCGCAGAGCACAGGTCAAGGGCTTTTCTGTAAACATAAGGAGTAAAGCTTTAGTTGTTTCTCCTCTTTACTTTGTGCCAGCTCCAGCTTCATTATCCAAGGACTGTCTCAGACTTATCGCCACACAGAATCTACGTCCTATATCTGCTGCATCTTATCTGTAGTGCCAGACACAAGGAATGGTGTTCCAAGAGACAGAGATAAAGGTAAAGTGGGATTGACAGAATTTAGATTTGCCTTCTTTTTTGTTGCCATTAATAAGTACTTCCTTCAGAGGGAAAATATTGGTATTATATTATTTTATCTGAATAATTTAAATATGTTCCATTGTATATTTTTTTGCCATCTTTGTGAACTGCTTGATACTCAATCTTCTGAATACCTTTAAAAAAAGTCTGTTCTTCTTTCTGTACTGATTTATGTGTCTGAACAAAGACGCAATCTCATCATTGTGTACACACAAATAAGAACTAACAAATTTGCCCCTCTTTGCCATCTAATTGGTTCAAGTTTTCAAATTTATTCATCAAGTTTTGATGAAAAATGAGTACTTGATCAGATCATGTTCAGTTTAAGATTTAACGTTTCGCCCAGACAGTTGAACAGGTCATCAGCTCTTACACATGGTCTCTGTAGGGGTCTGGTTGCCTCTGGTTGTAAAAATAATAACCTATTCCCTTCCAGAGGTTGCCAAGATGAGAGAAGGCAAGAAATTGGTCAAACATACTTTTTTTTTTGTTAACTCTGCCTTTTATGTTGGTTTCTATAGGCCCTGGGACACCAAGATCTCAGAGGCTGGTGCTTTAATCACAATCTGATCCAATTATCAAACTTTTATCCATGATTTGTCTCCTGGGTGTCCTCTGACGGAGCTGAAAGACAGTCAAAAGACAGAATCTGAAGTTGTGTAGTTTTCAGTTGTCTCATTGTGTGTACTTCTTTTGCTAATAGGATCATCTGAGAAGGTGTGGATTGTGTCTCGGCTTCCTGTTTGTTTCTCTCTTGAAGAGTGGACTGTCACTTATCAAGCAAAGACAGAAAGCTATTTTAAAACCAACCAAAAATAATGTAGGAAAACTACTTTGTGTTACCTGTCCCATCATGCATATGATATCCTAGATCCATAGGAGGCTAAAAACTAACAAATGGCTTTTTTTCTTGGTCTATAAGTGATAAATATTTGGGGGAAAATAGCAGATTTGCTTAGATTTGCCTGGTATGTCAAATTGCTCCCCTAAGCTTGTTTTTACTGTCCTCAACTAAACAGAAAATAGGTTACTTCTGGCTTAAAATCTCAAAGCAAACAGCAGAAATCCAAGACTCAACAAGTTGTCACCAACAAATAGCAGATTTTCTCATCGTGTTTTAATTTCAGTGTGATTATTAAAATGTACTTTCTGTATGTTTATTTTCAGTTTACCTCACTAAAACCCATTTCATCCTTCAGGCTCACAATGTTGCTTTACTATAAATACTGACACATAACCATGCCTTTTTCCAACCAATTGGATAAACATATAGCACATGGGTGTAAAGTCACATACTTAAGATGTGTATTTGCTGCCTCCATAATCAGCAGGGAAATACCATATTATGGTATTTTCTGCAGAGTAGCCAGTTATTTTCAAATCCACCTCCTATGAAGACTTAAGCTTATGGTTATTCTGTGCTTCAGAGTGAGTCATTTGTGTTGCTTTTCCCTCAACATGATTTTTTATTTGAGTTGAAATTACATATGAATACCTTCATTATAGTTTGACCAGCGTCTGAGACCAGAAGATTGAATTTCTTCTTTATGCACAGGAGAAAAAAAACTTTTTTCAAGTTATTCTCTCACATTATATCTAAAGAAATGTTTTATCCCTCTAATGTACTGCATTAATAATGTCACCGGGGGATGATGTAGGCGTCTCATCTACTCGCCATCTCACTGTATTCCACCGCATATCTTACACGCTTGTTTTCTTTTATCTCCCATTGCGTCTTCCCTCTTGCACACAGTCACAATCATCTTGCCTTTTTGCCTTCTCTGACCTCCCTCCTTCCGCCTCCTTCTCTATTGCTTACCCGCTGTCTCAGCTGCACTGACCTCTCAATATCACAAGCTGTCAGTGCCAAACTATGAATGTCCCTTGACACTTATATGACTCAGACACCCTATGGCATTTCCATTTGCACAGACTATTTCAATTTTTATAGTGGGCTTGGTGGGAACTGGAGAAAGGCTTGCAGTCAGAGTAGGCCATAGTTGAAGCATTAAGTGCCCTAAGCAGAAAGATGTGTGTTTTGTGTGTGTGGCTGTGAGTCTTTATCTCTTTAAAAGGGTGGTTTACTCAGACACTGAGGCAATCTTACTTTTTGGCAATTCTGCCGTCTGGACTAATAACCCACTATCCTTTTAACAGGTTGACAAGTGCAAGTATTCACATGCCAAGCATAAATATATTTCTCTGGGGTAAATAAGGTAATTTCTGACAAAAGCCTATAAGATAAATAATTAATGTGTTAATGAGGACTTTTGACAACTCACCAGTGGGAGTGCTTCTTGTGACGCTTTCTTACAGCCCCATGGACAGCTCCAACACCCTCCCTCTGTGTGGGCTGCTGCCTTCTGCCCACACTGGACAGCCTCCCACACAATACCTACCATTCAGTTCCAAAAAAACGAGAATTTTATTTGTGGAAATATTGTTGCAACTCAGATGTTTCATGATTTTCGGTAGAGGGACCTTGGGCAGAGAAAAGATCGAAATTTTGAACAAAAATGATTTTCTCATGACCCTTGGAAATATACTGGGAGAGGAAAAGACAGAATATGTCATTGCACCTATGGGCTCAAAAAGCAAGTCATGCCTATCATAACCTAGATTTTATAAGGCATGGTGTATCACCAGATGTGTCCTCTTTAATCATGATACTTGCCTCAATACTAAACAGACACGTATACTCTTGATTATTCTAAGTCTATTAGCACTTAAACATGTGTGCACACATGGGAATTTTGGACTGGGGACTCACAGGCAGAGGTTTCTTGGACTAAATGGCTGAGCACTTACACGCATTCACACAGTCTAGAAAGATCATGCTTCAACAAGAAGAATGGCTCCATTTGTTCTCAATTCAAGGTAAAGCTTGGATTTCGGCATTGTCAGTGTCTTCCTGCTCTTGATTTTCCTTTAACAAGGATTTGAGGCACCAGTGGAGGTACTTTGATGAGTTTGCGCACAATATGCTTTAAGCTTTTAGGCAAAGCAAAATCAAAGAGGTTTTAGAAGAACTGTGTTCATTTTCTGCTCGTATGGCCTCTCTCCCGGTACCTTTGATTTATTGTGCCGTTAATTCAATGCGCTCAAAAAGAAAAGCCCACACGGCCAGTTGACTTAAATCCAAATACAGCAGAAGCATCAGTCACTGGCACTTGCAATGTTTCCGTATTAACCGGTTGGCTGTTGCAACGCTAAATTATGCTGCAGATTATGCGTTACCCGAATTCTGCCTGTCCATGTCTGAATAAATCCAGCTGTTCTTTGAAAGAAAAATATAAAGACTCCAAAGCTATTTAATGGGTTGTCAGCTCCAAACAGTTAAAAAACTGACAAAAAACATTATGCATCCTCAGAAAATGTATACAAATGAAAACAGATAAAAATTGCAATTTCTACAACTCCCAATTTTTTACAAAGACTAGTTTAAATTCACCAGCAATAATTAAACCATTGTGTGGTACAAACCCTTCAAAGATCTATTAAAGCATTAGAGAGGAGATTGAGGAGACAGACTATGATGTGTATCGACGCAGCTTCACTTAAAGGAATTTCTCTGAGGAGGACTTGCCTGCTTAGTGATTGAAAATTCAACTGAATGCAAATGAGAAGTTCACGCCATTCACAAATGGACCCAGAGGCTTCTTGGTTTTAAATATGAAAAAGTCACAAACATTCTCAGAAAAATACATGTTTCTGCAAAGTGAATTCGTCTCCTCCTGATCAAAAGTCGTTTTTACTTACAAGATTAGTTTTACAGAAGAACACTTTGGAAGACCTTGATGGATTGTGTTGGCTAAACATAGAGCCTAAGAAACCAAACTCCTCAAATGGGATTCTGACAGTTACTATGGTTTTCTTATATTTGATCATTTGTGAGCCAATGGCACAAGGCTGTGGAAATACTGAAGTTATCAGCTTCCCGTTGTTCTGATTTTTATTTGGATATTCTTTTTCTGCAAACAACTCTCATGGCATGTTAGGGGAATTGGGAATTTACCTGTTTTATACAGGAGCAAATGGCATGTACGAGTCAGTTGTTTTATTTCTCTGTCATTTTTCAAGATTAATTTCTAAAATGTCCAAGTCAGTGTGGCTGAATGAGGCAAACCACTCCCACCATTTGAATGAGGACTATCAACCTGGGTACAGACAATGGAAAAATGGGAATTCTTAACCCTATAACGTTACATGTATACTTTTTTGCAACAATGGTTTCTGAAATGCTTAGCATCTAAGACCTTTTGCATCATTTAATGGTAAAAACGTTGCTAAAAAACCTGTTGTACATAATCACATATACCTGATAACAGCGGGCAGAAGACTACACGACCATAATATTTACTCATCGCATGGTGATCGCAATGATGAATATTTAAATGTTATTTTTCATATTTTGTAAAAGGGTCAAATAAAGACTTCAAAGAAAACATATTTTGCTCGGATCAGACACTAAAAGGTTCATAAGTACTTGTAATTTCTTAGCTTTTTTTGAGAAGCCTGATGAAATAAATTCCTGTCAGTTGTCGATCTACTATTTTCAATCCACGCATGATGTTTTCTTTTACAGTTGGGTGGAGCATCTTTACTCAGACCTGAATTCTGGTCTCTGGGTTTGCAGAGACAGGAGGGGGCATAGAGGGAATGCTGTGACAGGGGCTGATTGATGAAAGCTTTTCCTCATACCAGGAGCATGATATAGAGTATGTTTAAATACGTGCCAGATTTTCAGTTGAGTTTTTGAAAAAAATGTAATAGGCAAAATGTGTAGAAATGAAAATACGTTGTTTTAAGTGTTGTGTAGAACGACAAGCTGCCAAAGAAAGGATCCCTGTGGTTCTGACTAAGATATCTAGGCATATTGATTGGATGAGAATGTGGTTTGAATCTTTAATCTTTGAAAACATCTAAACCCAACTTTTTCCCCTCCGTCATCGTGACCAAGTGCATATAATGTGAACAAATCTTGGACGGTATTAGGTCAGACTGTCCTCGCAAAGCCCTTTTGTAATCCTCCCCAGGTTCTTTTAAGCATTTTGAGCACATAATAGTTGTGCTGTATTACACCTGTGACCATTCCATGCAATAGAAATGCAAGCCTTTCATAATATTACATGTTTTTTGGCCTTATTTCTGAAACCGTGCTGCTTTACATCATGAAGTAACTTAACTATTGACAGACACTGACTGGTTGTTAATGTCTCATCCAATGAAATTATATTTTAAAAACATGTAGTTATGTTATCTGACAATTGTGTTGCCTTTCACGTGATCTGTGGCATAAAGACCCTTATCTGTATCTCTTGTGTGGGAGCCTTTTTATTGAGTATCCCTGAAACCATTAGTTGGGACTTAATCAGCACAGCAGCTAATTAGAGGATATTGACAGAGAGCATTTATTGTGTGTGTGTGTGGTTTAGGAAAGAATAGTCAAGTGGTTGTGTTAAGTGACAGGTGAATTATGGCTTAATGCGTCCAGTGGTATTACTTCTCTGCTCCATTCCAATTGGTGCAGACAGACCGGACTAATGGATTTACCGGCAACTGTGAAATAACTGACAGCTGTCAGCGGAAAGCCTTTGCTGACTCTTCCCAACTACCCTGCGAACCAAACGCCGGTATGAGTATGAGCATTAGTCACTTTTCTCGAGTGGATCTGTCGACGTTACTCTCTTCGGGACATGTCACGAGACGTCTTGTTGAACACAATCCGCCTCTTCTCTTTGGGCTCACACGAGGAGGGCAGGTGCATATCAAGCAGATAGGAGGGGGGGGGGGGGAGAAGGGGGGGGAGCTTTAGCCGCTCTCACCTTTCATGACCGCTGTAACAGGATTACCTGCCGCACACGTCATGTCCACAGAGAGAAAGAGAGAGAGACAGAGCGGGCCGGCTCCGTCCGTGCGGTTATGTGGCATTAGAGCGTGGTTCCAGCCCCCCCTGCGGAGCGTTGCTGTGTCGGGCTGAGGGCGGCGTGGCAGCAGAGCGCCGATGAGCCCGCGCGAGGAGGCTGTAGCTCAACCGCCGGCTGGCATTTGCGGGCTTCCCGTTCTCCGAAGAGACCTTCTTTTTTTTTTTTTTTTGCCGAGCACTTCTTGAAGCAAAAAAGAAAAGAAATGGTAAGACGTTTACTTTAGTTTTGTCGAATGACTGGCGTTAACTGTCGAGGCGCGTGCGATGCCACATTCGCGTTGCGGTGCGCACGCACGTTCCCCAACGTGCTCCCCAACTACAGGATTAAAAAAGGAGCTTGTTTTGGAGGGCTGCACCGTTGACAGTCTATACTCGGCTTTCCCGACGTAAAATGAGTAATCCATTTGTACGGTACCCCTCAACTGTACACTGATCTGCACAGCTAATCTCTTGAGGGGGAAGTTTTCGAGGACTTACCGAAACCATCCGCGCTCACTTTGGATTATCTGAGGATGAGATCCCATTAAGGACGGTACATGTTTGGTTTGACATACTATTCCAGAGGTGCTGACTGCGGGGGTTCTGGAAAATATATCAGTGATTGCAGGTTATTGAACAATCAGCGTGTGTAGAATCTGTTCCACTGACCTGACCTCTCCGTTTGAATTTTAATGAGGCAGATGCCTTCTGCATATTCATACAATAACTCCAAGCTTAATTGTGGGCAGCACTTATTATAAACCTAATTCACTAACCAGGCTTGTGGGCTCACAGCTGATTTGACATGGTCCTGAGATGCCTACAGACTTTGGAGATTTTAAGAAAAATATATATTTTTAATGATTTCCAAACAACTATGCTTTAAATGTAGGCACGCAGAGCAAATCGCAGTTTGAAGCAAAGTTGATTCCATTTCCCAATGTCTGTTATCAGCTGAGAAATATGTTTTTGAGAGGTGGTTTTTGCTCTGACAAAACATCACATTCTGTTAAGCCAGACTTCCTAGAATGCGAGGGGTTTATTGCCATGTGTTGCCACCAGTTCTGGAAACATTTGGTTCTAAAAATTGATTTCCACTGTGAACTTAACTGCTGTGAGGTACTATTCAGGATACCAATGGGCCTTACCCTCAGCAGAAATGATTTCAAATGTCATGGCCTCAAATGGACTGGTGTAATTACCAGTGTTAACAATGACAGCTGTACTCCCTTTAACCACTTCCACTTGCTTCCCGTGGTGCTTGTTCCAAGCTGGTATCAGTGTGTCCAGCGGTGTTCTTGCTATGAGGTCGAAATCTTTCTTTTGAGGATGAAGTGCTATCCAGGGCTTTCTGGTAGCTTACTATTAAACGCTGTAAAAGCACTAGGCAGGAAAAGCTAGAAGGTGGACCTTGGTCGGCCGTTTTTTGTCAAACTGTGTTAACGTTGCTCACTACCAGTACTTCAAAGTGACTCTTGCCTGAAGTACCTATTGAGATCAAAGGGAAGGGCATGTAAGAAGACTACAGGTTGGCTTCCACAGCCACAGAAAAATCCTGCACACGGATGTATGTTGCATTTCGGAGTTTTGGTCATTAATTAACGCCACAAGGAAGGATTAGTTGAATGTTCATGTAAAGGGGAAAAAATGATAGTCGTTCAATGTTACAATAGTTTGTCGTGAGATGAGTAGAGCGTACACTAATTTAATTTTAATTCAGATAAAGGGGGATCAGTGCTTTTATACAAATAGGTCCAAAGGGAATCGGATGCTCGTTTGCTCTGTTGTTCGTCTTTCAGCCCCCACTCAGCGTTAAGTGTGCAGCGCTTTGTGAGGTTACGCACAGTGTGGCGAAATGGCAGAAGTGGGGACTAAATACTGGCCAGTCCAGAGGAGAAGAGCGGAATTCTGCTTTGAAATAAAGTCTGTCATGGCCGAAACTCAGTAATGCCGAAACATTAACGTTGACCTTTGCCTTGGCTGTTTTTTCTGTCATTTCATTTATTTAGTGGGAGTTTTTTTGTGGGAGGGGATGGTGGCAATGATAATGTTTGCTTGCCTAGAGCATATGGCATTGCTGTAATTATAACATTTTTTACTAACTTGTATTCATCTCCATTCACTGTTGGATGGCAGTTTATTTATTTGCTACTGCCAGTACCCGCTCTCTCCCCCTCTTGTGACTTCAGGGCGAAGTAGACACTATGGTGACTCACATCCCAGCTTGGCACAAAGTGGTTTTACAGGAAGACTTGGTCTTGGTTTGTATCTCAGCCGCATCTCAATGTTTTTAATACCATAGCATGGGATTTTTTTTTGTCAGGGATTTAAATTGTAGTCCTATCAAAAATTATTTTCTTCTCTAAATAGAAATTAGGCTGTAAAACAAGAGTTATGTATATTATGAACCAAAATATTTTTTGTTGAACTTTCAACCATTGCATGCTGATCAAAGAGACATATTTAAAAAAAAAAGTTTTTCTTTTATTGCCCATCCTTACACATTGTTAGATTGGCATTTCAAGGTTAATTTATGTCAGTAAACAGTAAATAACTGCAGCTCTAAAACAGTGTCAGTAAACCTACATTTCACTATAGCTACAGTCATAGGAAACAGAAGTTTAGTTTCAGACACTACCAAAGTGATCTTTTCAACTTTTGAAATCAATAGTTCTCAAAAAGGCCACTGAACTAAGTTGTCTCCTGGCACTGGAGTCTTCTTTTCAATTGAAGTTCAACATGCACTATTGTTGGAGAAACACGTCATAGTCAGTAAAACAGTTTTTTCTGATTCCAACGATTTTAATTGAGCAAGCCAAACAGTAAGCTTTATGATGTCTGGAACTAAGTCAGATCTGATCCCTTACACATGTTTCTGCCCTAAAGATCAGGTTTGCCTCTCAAATTGGATATTTCCTGCAGTCTTAGCTCTGCCCGAGACAGTTTTAAGATGGTCTTAAAGTGAGATTGAGATCCTAAACTTTAGGGCTTTATTTTGAGACTGTAAGATATACTGCATTGTAACTTACTTGGCATTTATCTTTGGTGCCTGTTCTAAAGCCTTCGATCATTAACTGCTGGCCTCAGGAATGACAAATTGTATAAACCATTTTTATTGAAATGTGGGAGAATGGGACGCTCAAGGCTGATTCTTTTTTTTAAGTATTAATAAAGCCAAACTAAGGGGTTATAAAATTCTCTGGTAACTTAACTCAACCAGGTGCTATAAATACATCCATGTTGAGTTATCAAGAAAGTAACTGTCTGGTTCACACTCAATTTGGATGAAGAATAAGGAAACCCTCTCGGATGTTATACGTAATAGTGATTGTCGGAATGCGACAGATCGTCCTGCAGATTAAACAGCCTCAGCTTTATGGGCTGTTACAGAATATTTAAAATGCCACACTCTTTTAGACAAACGGATGGCTCTGTGTTACTTTCTATCTAATATCTTTCAATATTGAAACACAATGTTCACCAGTACATAGAAAGACAGCCTAAGGCACAATTTGCTCAGATCCCTGTGGGTGAACGGTTTCTTTTCATGTACACCTCTTTAATACACATGCTCACATAAGGCAGATGCGTACGTGTGTGTCAGATAAAACAGTAATTAACAAGCGCTGCCACACTGCCTTGACTGACTAATCATCTCATCTTGTCAGGGCCTCATGCAGAATGAGTTCTACTTTAATAAATCCACTCCACTAATTTTCCCGCTTTTTAGTGAGGGATCCTACAATAGGAAAACAATTGTAGGACTTTGAAAGGCTTTGGATTTTAGGCCTATAGAGTAATCTCACATTAATTACAGGCTGCATCCTATTTTTCGGGAGAAAATCAAGTCAGATAATCATCCATTGATCCATCCATCCTATTTGTGCTGCGCTCATTCCCAGTAGGGTTGTCGGAGGCTGGGGACCTATCACAGCTCTCACTGGGTGAGAGGCATGGTGCACCCTGGACAGGTCAGGCATTGAATAACCATTTTCAAATTTGTTTTTCTTCAAGATGTGTTAAAAATTAATTGTGTCCAACCACTATTAAGGTAACTCTCATGTAATCTTCTGAAAGTTATTCAAATCGACTTGTTGATCAGATGAATATCCATTACTGATTTGAAACTGATGACTAGTTGGAAGTGTCACTGTAAAGCTACATGTCCTCAATAGAAAGAAACCTTGAGAGGGAACAGACAACATTTACTGCTGTGAACGACTTAAAGAAAAAGGTAACAATAGCACTTTTTTCTCTGGGAACATCTATATATATATATGTGTGTGATTGTGTTATATATTTATATATATTGCAAGACATCAAACACCAAAAGGGACCTATTGTACGTCAGCTTTTTAAATTGGATGCAAGTTAAAAAACAGAAAAAAAAGAAAAACAAGATTCAGCGTAAGAATTTTGCATTTCAGAGACATAGAATGAAGAAGCATGGTGAATTATTAAAACAGAATTTCATCATAGAATTAAGAATATTTCTCCCACAGCGCCGTACAATCATAACTTACTTATCATTCTGCAAATACAACTTAATTCGTATGCACAATGGGCACCTAGAGCAACATTTCTGTATTATTTGATAAGAGCCTCGTGGGTAGTGATGCCTGAAATGATTTAGGTCCAAGTGCATGGTGAGAGGATGAGTAGACAAGAGCGACTGGGAGTGCTGTTTTTTTTTTGCCGTCTCTCATCACCTTAGTCCTGGTGTTTCACTTTCAGCTGATGGCATTTCATACATTAAGAGGAGATACTGTGAGCAGTAAGTCTTTGTTATGATTTGCTGTCAGCCTCGCTGATTCCATGTGGGGAAGGGCAAAAACTGCACAGCAAGACCAGCATTTTCGGATCAGCCGTTCGGTGTTAGATATCGGAGGTTGTAAACTCTATATTTCATCCAAACCACCTGTGGTGGAATGAAACAAATTGAATGTGCAAATGGAAACCATTAGTATTGAACCAGTAGAACACGCTGTTGATGATAGCTGATGATAATTAAAATGACAATGTGGTCTCTACACCAGGGTACTGCAGGGTGGTTCAACAACGTCTGTATTAACGGAATCATTTAACCCTTAGGTGGTGATATTT